CATTAACACATTTGTGAAAGAGAATAAGTATAATATCCGAAACCTATTGGAGCGATCATCTATGCCAGTGAAGGATATGTTCAAAATATCCGCCAGCATTCTGCTTACAATGCACAAACGGCTTGATGCATTTAGCGAGCACTTTCTCTAATGTATCCTGCATGATCGCGCGACATTCTTTTGCAATATTTTCTTTAAATTTATCCAATGTATTCGGCCTTGTTTCGTACATTCGCCGCTTTAGCTAGTCCCATAGGCAAAGTTCCATGGGATTCAAATCTGGTGAGCGAGCGAGCCACTCCATTGGTCCACCGCGTCCGATCCGATAGTGGCCAAATATTTCGGTGAGGTGAGCACGCACCGTTTAAGCAGAAAGTGCATGTGCACCATCCTGCTGCCACCAAATAGTACTGAATGCTCCTTCGGCCTCCAACTGGGGAAGCACAAATGTCTGCAGCAGTTCAAAATACCACGATGCTAGGAAAAGATAAATCTTTAGTACTTCAAAACAACAACCTACCGGTCACATTCCAGGAAAAGAGATATGGGCCCAACATTTTCTGGCTTGTTAATCCGGCCCAAACCAACAGTTTCACACTGTGGTTCATACGTGTTGCGGTACATTTTCGTGGGTTGCTTTTATCCCAACGGTAGTTTCCTTGTTCCATGCAGATGAAACAATGCTTCATCTGTAAAGATAACAGAACGAATATCCCCGTGCTTCAGAAACCAGCGGCAAAATTCATGCCGCTTCTCCGGATCGCATGGGTTCAAAACCTGCACTTGAAGTGCACGAAACCTCCAAACTTTTCCTTCTAGTAATATCCGGTGTACCGCATATAGGGTCGTGTCACAGTGCTGTGCAATCCGAAGAATGCCTGGATCGGGACCCTTTGACACTTCACTGATTACAGCGCAAGCTGAACAGTCGTCCGTGGTGATGCGAGGCGGCCCGGTTCTCTTCATGTTACACCCACTGCCAGTTTGCTCGAACTTCTTCATTAGTTTAAACACGTGCCGGGCGGGGATGAGACGCATTCCTGCGTTCAATGCGTTGTATTTTCTTGAAGCTGATGCGGCGTTTAAACCGCATTCACCGTACAGCCGAATAATCAGCGCGCACTGAGTAACAGGAAAGTTCCGTGATCCCGACTGCATTGTCTGCTCGTGCTCCATTACCTGTGATTCAATAACATTGACAACAGTCCTCAGCTGAGCTGCCATCCCGTGCGCACATGCACGTGGCACTTTCGCTCATCTAAGCCGACTTTGCCGCGTAGCCAGCGAGACACACAGAGATAATCATCGATCTTTCCAACGCCTACGGTTGGCCATGACTTTCAATCAGTGAGAATTTAGCTGACAGCTGGAAACATGTCATGGCTCGCTCGCTGATCAACGGCCTCATGTCGGTGCGTCTTTGGAGGTTAGGCTTTTCCTCAGCTGAGCCATGCACTAAATCACTCGTCTGCCGAGAATTCTCTACGTCCGCACCAATAATGTGAGAGAGAAATTCATGTCTCTGCACTCGCAGTAGCATGTTGCGAATTTTGCTAAACATTGGATGACTATTGGATTTTGGGAACAACAATCGTAAACGACCGGCGTTCACCATGAACGAGCCATGGTAGGTAAATGAACGCTAATCGGCCTTCTTCCATCAGACTTACCGTATACTGATTTACATTCGATCGAACTAATGTTATTTTACAGTAAGTTATTTTCTTGGTAAAACGTTCCTTTTCCAACCTTTTGCCGGATCATTTATTCGCAAATCTGAGGATTGCAAGTAGGAACGCGGCAAGCTGCGAATCTAGATAAACGGCATTACTTATCTTACCGTCATCTATGATTTCAGTTTAACTACTGTAATCATATGGCAAGTTTTGTGATACAAAGTTGTTCCTTGCGGCGTCCTTGTTAAGTGGGCGCAAATATGTTGATTTTCTACAAATGGTATTGATGTGAGTCTGCTCCTACAGCCGTTATGACCTTGGAATGCGCCGGTTAGTGTATAACGGGGCGGTACTTGTTCGGTAATGCATGGCTACCTGCTTGTGTAGCTGACTGTAGGTACAGTGCTTTAATACGTAAGATACTCTATTTGTTGACATATTGTTAAACAACAAAACAGTAGTTCAGCCCAATTCGTATTGACCAAGTCCAGTGCTTTGAGATAATGTGACCTGTACTAGCATGCGTGTGCTCCTGCAAGATTAATAGTTTATATAGGGGCGTCTGGTCATAAGCGATATATGGCTAAGCAAAATTAGTGGCCTACAATTCTTATACAGTATAGGAAACGTAATAGTGCTCTTGGTTGTGGCAAACGTGACTAATCTAAGACACTGATTTATTCCCTTACAGCTTTCCCTAATTCATATAACGGGCGTGTGTGTGACAGGAAGCGTTTGTTGGCCCATTTACACATTAAGTATGTGAGTGTCTGGACATAAGTTTGCCAATTACAGTTAGTAATATGGCCATTCGTTGATTGAGCACTTCGTATTTTTTTACTATACTGTTGCAAAGGCAAAAGAGTTTAGTCACAGACATAGCTTTTCTTGGAAATGTTTTCAGTGTGTACACTATGAACTGTCGTTACACACCTTACTGTAATCGCGAATTCAGCAATGCATACTCTTTCCCTACGCTACAACTTTGTAAAATGTACCAAGTTTATTTGGATTAGCGCCCAAAGGATACCTTGTGTTTATCCATCGTGCACGGGTCTTGCAGTAATTAATGCACGTGGCATTTTTGTCAACCTCTCAGAATAGCATCCCATCTGTTCACGAATAAGTGGACAAAGTAAACTACGAAAACGCGTGAGCTTACGTGATATTCAACTGATCACATCCATCTCCAATAATATACTCACGCGTATGCACCGGCTCATAAGTTTTGCCAAAGCTTGATGTGCATTTCCAAAACTACGGTATAGTTTTAAAATTTGTTTAAGAATTCGGTAATTGCAAGTCTCTGCACAGCGCTCACCAGTTAATATTTTATTCGATTATTTACGATCTATGCATGATTTGGGGGTGAGCACTATATCTAAATTTTCTGCGGCCCTCCTTAAACAAGAAACATTGACCAAGTTTCTAAGAACCTGTATTCGGAACGATAACAGCAATATCAGACTTAGGCAGTCAAGTGCATTAAAGTTTTTTCTAAGAATGCAGATTGCGACTACCTTACTCATTTTTGGAATGTCTCATTTTGCCACACGTATCGCACTAGCAATTCTTCCTGCATGATCTGACGAACACGCGAACGTGAGATGTTACTTAGCTGTTATGTAGGTTACTTCATTTATCTAACCAATTTGGCCTCTTAGTTATCCACACCGGACATAGTCTTACTGCGGAACCTCCTGTCGCGCGCTTCCCAACACAGGTATCCCCATCAACACTGCTTGGGATTTAAAAATCTTCCGTGGTTTCGCCGATTCATAAAAAGCGTGTTTCAAGTTGCGTATGAGAGTATGGAATTGAGTACCTTACAACAGTGACGTTTTGAGGCTAACTGTCATTAGTAGTGATGCTTCTACAATGCAGTATTTTCCCTATATACCATTTTGTTAGTTACCAGCTACATCACATGCAAAAGAGGTTCTTCACACCTCCCGCATGCCAGCTTACCGTATTTCAGTCATCTTTTGCCTGCCACATGCTTCAACGTACGTGGAACTGACACAAGATAACCAATCCAACAAATAAATTAAACGGGTTGCAGGCGACCGTTTACCGCTTCTAGACATTCTTTGGAGTCTGTGCCACAGACGTATGTGCCGCAGTCGGGTTTTGACACTTCTTTGCCACCGACTCTAATTCGTAAGTGGTAACCAGATATAATAACGGCAGTATTTTTCGATTGCCGAGAAAGGAATGGAACATTGAACTGTTTGCCAGGAACATTTATTTAATGATAAGTACGAATATCAATCACTAAAACACGCCTTTACTTTTCAGATGGAATTCTTCCTTCGAACTGGTGGTAAAGAAAAAAAGCTCTCAAGCGATATTGTTATAGACGCAAGGAAAGAGCGTAATGCTTGACCTAATATGCATCGATAAGCATCAGTAAATGCTAGGTAGTTTGGCTTTATATTAAATCTTAGTTTCTTACTGAGGATCATTAGCAGCTTTCTTTACATTGCTTCGGACAGCCAACCGAACGAAGCAAAATTGCTGAACTCTTAGAATTTAGTTTTTGTAATTCAAAAAAGCATAATAATGGTTGATCGAAGGCGACTGTATGCATACTGGCCTAAGAACATGATGATAAATAAGCAAACTTAAACAATGCAAAAAGTTTAGTGCAATGCTGGTAGTTGACCATATTTGCAGCCTTCCAAATTATTCATGGATAAATTGTGATCATCAAATGCTTAAAAGCTCAAAACGCACCATCGAATTTCGGACTTAAACTAGCTTTTACTTTACGGTCTCATGTGTTCTATTTCCGAATTAGGATGTCCTCTAAGAGAGACGGTAATTTGCGGAAGCCAGTGCAACATTTTTGAGTAATTAGTCTAACGTTAGGATGGATAATTGGTGGGCTTGTACAACACCAGTTAGTTTACAGATCAATCCCATGTAAAATCTATCGGACTAATTTATACCTTTCAAAATGTCCTATTGGTTAAATGTGAGCACCTGGTGTGTTGTTATACAGATAACTAATAGAGTTTTCAGTCGTATATTTTGATTATGTTTAGCCAGTGGAAGTCAGTTGAGGCTTTCTTGTTCCGGGTCAATTCGGCTAAAGCGTGGGAGTATATTCTGTATTGCTAAGTTCACTGGGATGAAAGTTTGCACAGGAAGAATATGGCAGTAATCTGCTGTGCATTCCGAGTGACAGTTATTGAGGTTGGTGCAACAACAAGTCTACATAAAGGTACTCTAGCTCAACCGATTGCACCCAAAATTTGCACAGGGTAATCGGTATTATATCGTTTTAACTTTGACAAAACCACTAGTCCCCAACGGACTCACCTACGGAATCACATCGTATGGGTTTTCGGACAATGGCAGGGACTAAATAACGAAATTGGAATCATAATTTAAACACTGGATAATATGACAATTATCAAGGTTAAATTACTTGCATAATAAAGGAGCGTGCGCCGAGGTAGTTCCAACAAGAGTATGCCTAAAACCTATAAATTACTCAACATGCATGGTCGGATAAGTCACCGGTGTTCGCGCTTGGACAACAAGTTTTGGTAGCGTGTATTCGGTAGCGGTGGGTCTTTGATTCATAGTTAAATTATCTCACATTGATCTCCGCTACCTTTGTTTTTCTGAAGCTATTGTAAAAACTGTATTAATCCAGCTTTTTGCGTTTAAATAATATTTATTTTCAGACTAAGTCTGATCTGAACTTAGGAATAAACCTCCTCTATGCATTATGAACGTCAATCCTGTCTACTAACACCCCGTTTTTTGCCATATATATGCATGCTGGTTATTATTAATATGGTTGAAGAGAAAAGATGAACAACATGCATCAACCTGATTTCGTCACCTTACCATGTTTTTCAAACTGTTAGTGAAGTTACTGCTTTTAGAACACCTAAATCTCGGTTTACGGATAATATCATAGTAAGTGCGGAAATCGACTCTTTGCATTACTGTTTGCTAGAAGTCAACAATTCAGAGGTGAACAGAAATAGAACTAGTGCAAAGCAATCTCCCAGATTTCCGATAATATTTCAGGCGGCCACTTATACTGTTCTAACTCTTTTATTTGAAGTGGATTTGTGAAAGCACAAAAATACGTCCATCTACTTAGCTGTGTTTTTTCAGTGTAGTAAGTTGTTATAAGTTTTAATAGAACCAAACTAAACAGCGGATTTGCCTATGACAAGGATATTCAGCTGCAATGCTTGTTGCGTAAATTCCTCTGTAACTCTCATAACAGAGTTACTCTATATCTGAAAATGGTTGTGGAGAAATCCCAAATCAACAATTACAAACGCTCGTCTTACTGAAAATGTTTGCTAAGCGCTTGCTGCAGTAGTAAGCAACTTGTTAATCACGCATGCTCCTGTCTTGATAGCCAAACGTGAGTAAAAACTTGGATCCGATCCATGATCAAAACGGTGTTAACCAAGGCACAAGTTTATTTTGTACCTCTCAACATTGAGTATCAGTGGACTTGTTACGTTTATTCTTGCATCCTTTTCCGGTGCCAAAGCTTCGCTCATGTCAGTGCAATTCAATTGTAAAATGGTTGCAGCCCGTTAATTAACATCCAGTTTTGTCGGCGGGGATAGATTAGCTTTCAGGCTATCTACTACATGTTCACTTAACGCGCTCTCTCCACTCACCATTATCGTGCACAAAATGCGTTAACTTGTCATAACCGCAGTGCACAACTTCTTGAATTATTTGGCGCAGTTAGATTGTTTTGCTGTTCTTCAAGTGCTCAACGTTTCTGCATTCAGCGAGTTCCGTAATGACGGAATTATCATCAGGTGCTTTTGCAAATTTGTCGTGGCAATTTGAGATGGTGCTTTCATTACTACTAATATTTCTGAATATGAAAGGATCCTTTGTTTTAGGTCCGAGAAACGCTTGATAGGCTACGCCTGATATCAATGACTAGGTGAAAGCAACACAATTGTTCTTAAGTAATTTGTGCAAACATCGAAGATATTTGCACTAAAAGTTACTTAGTGTCAGTATTTAACAATTGCCACGGTTAATTTATTATTCCTTTAGTCTATGACAACAAAACATGCATCCGTCGTAGGTTAAGCAATATCACTATATTGAGGATAGTTTTACCAAAACATCCTTAAAGCTACAAATGACTTGCGTATGTGCCTCAAGGTTATCGATTATTAGTTTAGGATCCATATGTCCTATTGCGCTCTCTAATGAATCGTTGCGGTTTGTTTGACGTGTGGAGAACTACGGACTAATTGCTTTGTTGTTTCCTTACCGTTTGTTACTTCTCATTGTACTCAGAATGCTTACCAGTGGTATCTCACATTCCACCTTCATCAAGTAGTTCTCAGGATTCCTTGTAATGTAGCAGCGAGTGGGATACTGCGAATTAAAGTGCATTTGGTTATGATGCATTGCCACTAGTGTAAGTACGTGGTTAATGTCGACAGATTGATATTTGAGTGAGGTTATTTCAAAGGATACATAAAATACCGTAAATTTAAGGCACGCCATAATGCTTGTCAGATGAATAAGTACATGGTATACATTTGCTCAAGTTTTAGAAAGATGCCCGATTTGCAAACATGGACAAGTAGAGAATCTCAAGCAATTGATCCTTATAAGTGAAACCCTTAAAGTAAGAGCAAGATATTGGCATTTCAGTACCAAGTTTGATCTATCGAGACAAGTCATGCATTTGAAGCATGAAATTCACTCTTTCAATGTGTGCAGTTGCTCATGGGTGAAATACTTTCATTTTCCCTAAGGTGTTTTAAAGCACCATTTATCACCGGAACAAGTAACATTTGCGTATACAACATAAACTGAAGGAGCTATGTGTTTACGGTGAAAAATTCGACGCTTGAGCCATGACCGAATCACAATTTGCTAGATTGTATACGACCATACTCCCACATGTGAGGCCATGGCCAAAAACGGATTGATCAAAAGATTTTCGTGGAGTGCTCTCAAACCTTATAATAGCAATTTTGCGTCACTTTTGTTCAAAGCACCCGTGTTTAGAAATGTTAACAAACGTACTCATTCTCCATTACCTCACATTATCTGACCTACATAAGGATACTGGAAATAAACTACTGCCATTTGTTTGTTGATTTTTACTTTCCATTTTGTAACTCCCAATCGACCACACACAAGATATGACAAGTTACCATTTAACTAAATTATAGCGCTGAGCATAGATCGTTAGGTATTTGCAAAATATTTTACGAAAAGCCCATAAAAAGTTTATATTTGGCATTTGAAAGTGGCAAACTGGCGTTAGACGTACTGAAACGATTCGTGCAAAGTAAAACAAAGCACTCATTCAACTACTCTCCAAAGCCTAATTTATTAAACAAGTATATATTTTCGTAGGATGTAGAAGCCACGATTAAACTTTGCACAATAATCTACCTCTACGAGGGATCAAATTTCGGGCGTACGGCTTACCGGTCCGTTGCTCTACCAACTGAGATACCGAGGACTAACGATCAGGTGCGCATTTTAATAAAAGACTTCTGCTTATTTCGCGACATATTGCCAATAAGCTCACAGTATCAGTACCTGTGTTGCAGATTGCCTTACTCACTCGTCACTTCCCAATGAATCGATGTATCCGTCCTCCAGATGTTCAAAGAGCGATGCCAAATTTAGACGAGCTTAGGATGACCTGGACTATAATGGAGTACTGCAATCGCATCAGTTGGTCTGCTACATATCTTCGGTTTTAGTCTTCCTCCATTTCTGCGAATTAGGAAATTAGGGAATGGTGGTATACCACATCATGATTCTTATTCCAAGGTAAGTTTGAAGCTATCATTAATTTGATTTAAAAGTTTATAAACTGCACATTCTTAGCTTTTTAACAGTGAAAAAAATTAGCTTCTAGGTATCGTCACCAAAGCGTTGGCGAACAATGGGTTTTTTCAAAGCCTATATTTCAAACTCTGATATATGTGTTAGCCAAAACAGGGGATATTAGCGACCTCTTTGGAAGTCCCCTTTCCTGAGTGCACCGCCTCGACTAAAAAGGAAAATAAGACATATATATACTGAGTTTTGTTCCTTCTCCAAACCACTGACTTTTTCCATGTAGTCTGCTGTTATCCCCAGTAAGTTGGCTTTGGATACCTTAGAAATATCAAACTAACCTTGATGCGGACAAACAATTCATTTCAATCGATGGTCGGACCGGCTATCTTTAGCAACAATTGAAGGAGTACTTTACAAACGTATTTGATTTCCCTGTTAGAAGCTTTAAAAAGCCTGACAAATATCTGGCTACTTCGTAGGTTGGAGATCCGATGCCATCCATATTTAGCCGAATGGAAACTTTAGCCTTGTGCAGCTACGGCAGCCGATAGATTCTAGGTGGAATGGTTGACTTCGGGAATATATGTACCAGCTACATGGCCATAGGCAGTCCAGCATCTTTAGGCAATCACTAACCTCAGTATTATTGTTATTTATTACAGGTCATTCAGTTTTCCGCAGCATTTCATTGAGCCCTGCTGCTAAATTGTTTGTCAGCTTTTCTTTATTATTTGACTTTTTCATCAACACCACGGACATACCTTTATCAGACTTTGCGATGATTATGGTAGGATCATCCCTTTGGATTCTTAATGACATGCTCCCGGCCGTCGCAAGGTTTGACTCTGCGAGCTGTAGGAACCTAATTGCATTTTCCAGCTGTGCATGAATATCTGCAGTTTTAGAAACGTGTAATTTTGTCACTACCATCTCAATGTTCGGAAGAAAATCTTCAGCCCTTACATCTGACTTGTTGTTACAAAAATCAAAAACCATTTCTGCGATAATATATGTTTTTTTTCAACAATTCATCGGACCTATTAACAACATGGCAATGGTTACTGCCAGGTTCAGGGCATTCAATGTGAATGGGCTTTCTGGGATATAGAGATGTTAATGACCAAACTTGCAAAGCTGTTATTTTCTTGACTCAAACGACAAGGCCTGTTGAAAACCTCTCGTATTTTTCTGCCTCACAGCCGTCTGCAGCTTTCAGCTCTCAATGCGATTAATAGCGCTTTTCATAGTGCGACTGAGAAGTCTCGTTCCAAAGCTGCCTTTACTCAACTCGCTTCATTGCTAACCCAGCCGATGACCAAACAGAGCACCGGAGCCTGCTACACCAAAGTATATTAGGCACAGAGCACATACCACTTAAAATAAAGGAGAATAACCGTAGCTCGGGGTACGGATGTGGGTTTTGAGCTTTTCTCCGATTTGACCGGTGATGGTGTAGACGTTTTGTTGCCTGAGTAGGCAACATCATCAGTGCGGCTTCAGGGGTCTGGTTCGCAGTGTCTTGTAAGCGACTTCAATGTCCAAGTGCTTATTCATCGCGTTCCGTTTTGAATGCCACGCCTCAATGAACTCACGTGCTTGCCGGATTTTAGCCCTTCTGAGGGTACTGGCATACTCTAGGTCGCATTAATGGTTCTCGGCGTCCATGTGCACTGACATCAGGGAGTTCTGATCGCGGTGATGAATGGCTAGGCTGCATTCGTGTAGCCTTGTGCCAAGTTTTCTTCAAGCCTTTCCCACGTAATATTTGTCGCAGTTCCGGCAGCAGACCATAGATATCACACTAGTTTCTTGCTCTTTTCTACTTTTCTCTTTCACGTTGAAGAGTTTACTACGAAGTGTTTGCGTTGGTTGGTGTGCAATTCTGACTCCAACATGAAATAAAAGCCTTGCTGCCATTTCTGAGATTCCGTTGAAATAGGGCAGTGTTGTTCTCTTCTCAGCTGTTGCATTTGTCGAGATATGTCGAGCAATGTTTTGTGGTTCAAGGCAGTGAAGGCTTTTGGGTATGAGTTCCACTTGAGCAAATTGAAGAGATGATCTCCTTCTGCCCGTCTCAGTTGCGGTGTGCTACAATGGGTTTGTGCTCGTTTATAAAGGCTTCGAACTCAGCTGCTTTTATGGGCTGCCGGAGTTGAGGATCTGGTTGGTATGCGTAGATTTTCGGTAGAACTTTTTTCCCAATCGTTCAGCACCAGTCCGTCATATGAGAAAGTCTATGAATGGTAACTGCTCGTTGTTCTCCTCATGCCTATGAATTAAATGCCATCGAACACACTACTGGTTAGTTCGTGTGCGTAATTAATTTTGGAACGTGTGAAGATAACGAAAATGTCGTCTACTTATCGTACCCAAAGTTTTGGTCTCGCGATCGGAAGTGCTATTTGTTCTAGCGCCTGCATCACTGCCTCGATTACCAGATCAGAGATCGGCGATCCCATTGGTGTGCCTCTTATCTGTTCGTAAATTTGGCCATTGAAGTTGAAATGTGTTGTTAGACAGCATTCCAGTAACTTCATCAGCTGTTCGGGGTCGAGTTTAATGCTTGTGTCTGAGGACATGTGCTCCGCTAGCAGGCGCGTCATTGTTTGTTTCGCCAAGCCAATGTCGATTGAGGTGAACAAGGCGGTAACATCGAAAGTGACCATTATTTATTCTCGAAGTGTTAAAAGCGAGCAAGCACGTGAGTTCATTGAAGCCTGGCAAGCAAAACAGAACGCGATCAATAAGCACTTTGACATTGAAGTCGCTTACGAGGCACAGCGAACCAGTCCGCTGAAGCCGCACTGAGGATGTTGCCTAGTCAGGCAACGAAACGTCTGCATAATTATCACTAAAATCGAAGTAGAGCTCAATACCCACACGGATCATTTCATAGGTCATAATCTATCATCTCCTGTTGTAAGTTCCTGAGCTGACTCAAGCCATGGGCCCTGGGCTGATTTCAAAACAGCTTGCTGTACGCACTGTCGAGCTGTTGTCACTCCCTGTCACCTAGCAGTCCGTGTGATGATTTCACCAGCCTGTCTTAGCTGTACTACCGTCGGTCGTTTAGCAACCTATGTCATCCAGAGAGACGTCTTCAAATCGTATCACGTTCATAGTCGGAGGCTTGCTAGCGTGTACCATCGTAGTCAAAGTTTATGTCTCCGTGATATATGTATTTTTAGAGATATTACGACTAATTGCGTTTACATTATTCGGTGCCAAGTCTTTGCGCACATGCAGGTAGGCTAAACAAAAAGTGAAATGTGCACAGTACAAGCAGAACACAAGAGCCGCGTCTCGCGTCTATCGAGAAACGTCTCCGAATACAAGGGGTTAAAAAAACATTCCGGCGGTAGCGGTATATGTGCTGTATTTGGGGCACGAAATTGTTGGCGATAACCTAGAGGTCAGTTGGTGAAGAGGCGGTAGAAATTGAAAAAAGGAGAACTGCGCTAACAAAACAGATGACGTGGAACTGTCCAGTACGTTATGGACTGTCTTAAGCTAGTCAGTCTGAGGTGCGTCGATGTAGGGACTCAAGGTGGGACGAAAGAAACATCCGAACTTCAGGAACACAAAAAATACCTTAATGAAAAACGTACCTGACATGTAAATCACTTGTTACGCGAAGCAATATGCGTAAGTTCCATGCACATTGCACCATTAGAATTACATTTTAACCTAAGGGTAAC